GGACCTTACAGCCAGAGAAAGATCTTTGACCATTCAGCGGTAAAAGGAAGGTCTCCATCAAATTACTTCCCTCAGAGCTCAGGGAATTCTGTAGAAGAGAAGGCAGAAAGACTGTAAGAGCCAGAGGAGATGGAGGACACCGGGAGAACAAGGTCCTCTGAATCAAACTAGCAAGGTGCAATGAAAGCTCACAGAGACAGAACCAGAAGGCCCAGGGTCCACATGTTTGAATATGTGAGTGGATCCTGAAGAGCGTGCCTTAGCTGTTTTCCTCCTGACCATGGCTTGTACCATGACTGTGGAGGGGAATCTACAATCTACAAGTCCTGGAAAGTTAATGCTCTGGAAGTTTTTTTCACTCACTATAAGCCAGGATTTGATAGGTGAAAAACCACGCTGTTCTCCCCTCTATGGAGGCAACTCTGGGTTGCAACTTGACCCTGTCTCCGAGTTTCCTGGCAGTACTGGGCTAAGGTGGCTGCCTGGAGTGACTGGCTTAAACCTTATTCCTAGCTGCTCTGTCTCTTTTGTGTTCTCTTCCCAGCACTTGGTGATTTAACTTCCAGAATAAACCATTCCCACCAAGTCTGTGTCTCAGGAGAGGCCCCCTCTGACCGCTGTCTTGCAGATGGAACTTTTTTAAAATGGAAATTGGATGTTGCCATAGTATTTAAGTGTGGGAGTTTTTTGTTTTACAGATACATCAATCTGTGAGATCTGGGGGAAAATAAGGCAAAAAAATTACTGCCTTTCTCTTAACGTAGACAGAAGCACCAATAGAAATGGATAGAAACACGTATAGGAAAACTTTGGTTAGCTACAAATGAGAATTTTCTAGTGATTGCCCAAGGGACACAGACAGGTGGTGCTTTAGTACTCTGGCATCGCGGAAGTTCAGGTCTGCATGGCAGGCTGTTGAATTCCACGTGGTCTTATGACCCAGCAGATTCTATTGCTCTGCCTTAAAGGAGCAGGTACAGGCAGTGTCTTGTTCTTTTTCACTGTCTATCTTACCAGCATGGGAGAAGACTAGTGTAACCGACCCCATGTGCCGGCTGCGTTCTTTCAAACACTCATCAACTCTCGAAAGCAAGGCATGGGGGAGGTTTGGTTCTGGTTGTTCCTGTTTCTCAAAAGCAGTGATAACTGGGGTGTTTCAGAGAATCTTTATATGAACTAGGTAAAAAAATGATGCCATAACAGTACAGGATCTGCTCACAATATTATGTAGCAAACATCACACAACACCTTCCAAGATTCCCTTGGAGCAGGAAGTTGTTCTGGGTGTCTTGGCTGCCTTCCTGCTTCTCCACACTTTTTTTCTGTTCAATCCCCAAGGAGCCATCCCTGGCTTATTCGGGTCTTGTCTGAGCTCAGGGTCTCCGCTTGAGCTGGAGGAGAGGCAAGAATAGTAACTACTGTCTTTTCTGAAATTCTACCAAACACATCTTTAGAGGCATAGAGGCTTTTTTGTAGATTGTAACCTTCAGTATATGAAACTAGAATAAGGTCCTATAGGGGAATGTGTGGGCACTCTCGCTATGTGTGTGCAGTGGCCAGGGGACATGGCTGTGCCAAGAGACTGCAAACCACGGCCTGTGAATGCGGCTCCTTGACCTCCATCTTCTCGGATTTTCAGATGATGTCCAGAATCTTTTAAAGTCGAGAGGTTCCAGGTGTTACACGCCTCTGTCATTATCTCGCTCTTTTGTGATGCTCTGAGCAGTTGGTGTAGGAAGAACTCTTGATGAACTTCTAATCGAAATGGTTTGAGCTCAGGGCTGCTGCATTTGTGTCTTGTTTATCGCAGGTTTCCAGCCCCTTCCTTGTCAGTTTTGAAAGCTCCAGCCATCCACTGTTCGAGGCATTTAATGCTGGGTCACGCAGTCTGAATGCAACGTGAAGTCTGCTTGTCGAGACATCAGGCTTGTTCTGGTGGCATCTGCCTGAAGAAGGAAAACGTCTTTTTCTAATTCTCACAGAAGCCATGGGAGGGTTAAGATAATCTTCCCTTGAGCTAGCCAGCCGGTGTCCCTGCGGGTTACAGTGACACTCCTGTGACAAGTTGAAATGCGCTGCATGAACTGCAGATCCGAGTGTCTGCTTCCAACCCACGCACACCTCTCCCCTACCTAATCCTAGAACGCAAGAATTTTCAGTTCCGGAAGCTGTAACCACTGTGGTTCAAAATCTTTCACTTATATTCTTTGGGATGCTAATGAGTCAAAACCAGAATAAAATAAAACCAGGAAATACCTTTAATGTGTAAAGATTATATATTTATGACAATTGCCATTTCTTCAAATAAAATAAGAATATAGAAGAATTTGATAATTTTTTTCTGGAATACAAGAAACAATCCAGCAGAAATGAAGCCTGATGTACTTTTTCTTCTTTGATTTATTTATTTTGGCATTCTTTCTTTAAGGCTGGGCTGACCTTGAATTCTCACCCCCTTCTCTTTTTTAAACAGACAACGCTATGACATGGATGGGTTTAGTCTTTTGCTAGGGGAGGTTATGTGGCTGTATTCTCATGTTTATCTTTCACTCTGTTTTGATAGAGGAGAATTTCATTTTTTTTCACCCTGCATGCTTTAGAAGGTAAGGTTTCCGCTTTTGTTCAATCCCAGGGTTCTATCCACTTTCTATCCAACTGACTTTAAACTCTTGATCCTCCTGCCTCCACCTCCCAAGTGCTGAGGCTACAGGTAGTCACTATACCCCTCTCAGTGTAATGTTTTTATGCGGAACAGTTCTGCCAAAAGCCCAGGCCCAGACATCCACCCCATCTGTGATCTGCTGAAGCACGTGAAGGGACTTGAGCCACAGACCCAAAGCTGCAGGATCGCCCTCAACACAGGGCAACAGCAGGATAACCAGGAAGAGTCCCAGTGAGGGCCCAGCATCCATAGAACCCAGAGGCCTTGAACCACGGAAATAGCTCTTTGCATCGAACATTTGCAAATAAGGATACATGGGCAAATAGGTTTACAGACTGACTCACTGTGCCACATACTGCAGCTTCCATGATGAGATTTTTAAAAAATTTAATTTAATTAAAAACAAGCTGTTTTACATGTCAATCCGAGTTCCCTCTCCCTACCTGCCTCACTTGTCCCCCACCAGCCCCCTCTCCCATTCCCTTTCTGCTCCCCAGGGAGGGTGAGGCCTTCCATGGGGATCTTCAAAGTCTGTCATATCATTTGGAGCAGGTCCTAGACCCTTCCCCGTGTGTCTGGGCTGAGAGAGTACCTTCCCTTTATGTGGAATGGGCTCCCAACGTCCATTTGTATACTATGGATAAATACTGATCCACTGCCAGAGGACTCATAGATTTCCCAGGCCTCCTAATTGACATCCGTGATCAGGGGGTCTGGAACAGTTCTATGCTGGTTTCCCAGCTATCAGTCTAAGGTCCATGGGCTCCCCCTTGTTCAGGTCAGCTGCTTCTATGGGTTTCTCCAGCCTGGTCTTGACCCTTTTGCTCATCACTCCTTCTCTGAAACTGAATTCCATGAGTTCAGCTCAGTGTTTGGCTGTGGGTGTCTGTTTCTGCTTCCTTCAGCTACTGGATGAAGCCTCTATGATGGCACATAAGGCAGTCATCAATCTCATTATTGGAGAAGGGCATTTATAGCCTCTCCTCTATTGCTTGGATTATTAGTTAGGGTCATCATTGTAGATCTCTTGACATTTCCCTAGTGCCAGATTTCTCTTTAAACCTATAATGGCTCCCTCTATTATGGTATCTCTTTTCTTGCTCTCCTCTATTCTTCCCCTGACTCAATCTTCCTGCTCCCTCATGTCCTCCTCTCCCCTACTCTTCTCCCTTTATCTTTCGTCTAACTCCCTCTCCCCTCTCCCATACTCCCAGTTTGCTCAGGAGATCTTGTCCCTTTCCCCTTCTCCAGGGGACCATGTATGTCTCTCTTAGGGTCCTCCTTGTTTCCTAGCTTCTCTGGCGGTGTGACTTGCAGACTGGCAATCCTTTGCTCCATGTCTAAAATACATATGTGAGACATACCATGTTTGTCTTTTTGTGACTGGGCCATGACGAGATTTTTAATTTTTTCCCTTTTTGTTTTTCTTCTCTTTTTTTCTTAAATTTTATTTTTTTTCGAGGGCGGTTGAGGGACAGAGGGAAGATTCGAAGGGATGGGGAAATGAATGGGATCAAGATACATGATGTAAAAGACACATAGAATAAATAAAAATAAAGAAAAAGAGAGGGGAGAACCAGGGCACGGTTATAATAAAATCAAAGCAACACCAAATCTAAAAGAAAAAAGAGAGAGAAAAGAAAAAAGAAACAGTTCACTCAAATCACCCATTTCTATCTGGCCTAACTGCATTCTCTCCACCTGTTAACATGGCCAGGTTTGTTCACAGTTTTGAGACATGGGGCATGGTGTTGGGTAGGAGGGAGGGCTTTTTCCTGGTGGCCCCCGGGAACCTTCATAGTCATGACCTAAAGTCAGGCAACTGTGTCAAAGCTCTGATTTCAGTCTTGATGGCTGCTTGTATTAAGTTCCTAGACAGACCATCTCCAACAGTTTACAAAGCATTCAGTACATTTTTACTGTATATACTTTACTTAGGTGTGTAATTTTCTATTATGTTATATTTTGATGACCCTTCCTGAAACGGGACTGTGGTTGACTGCAGTTGACTGACGGTGCTTTAGCTTTAATCAGGAGGGGCTCTGGTCAGCCCGGCCACAATCGGTTCCTCTGTGCAACATTGGGGATTGGCAGGGTTTCCTTCCATCTTCACTGATGTCCCAGGGTCTGTCCCCCGCACCCTGGTTGACAGAGTTCTCCAGCTCTTGGTGTGCTAGTGTGGGCTCTTCACAGGCAATTTACAGGAGCATGGCATGGCCTGCAAATCTTTATAGCTATTTATAAGAAAACACAAATTTGATTTGAAGTCAAATCACAAACCTGTAATGGTGTGCAAGGGAATTGAGAAAGTCATATTAGAAACTGGCAACGCAGCAAATGTTATCAAATATTCTTTACTTTTATATTATTAAGTCTTAGAAAATATTCTGAGGAAATAATTGAAAATACAGAAATACATTGTTAGTACAAAGACATTATCTCATTTGTCATTTTAACAAAAACTGGATACAGTTTACATGTTCTATTACAGCAATAGTAAAAGAAATGCCCATTTTTGTATAACATAAGCTTTATATAAAAAGACTTGGATTGTGAGCAATGTATGATATCATGTATGATATGTGATAATAAAAGCCAACAAAATGAAAAATAAGCAGCCTTTGTAGATTAGGCAGAAAAATGTCAAACCCAAGGCCTTTTAGTTATTTCAGTGACATGTGGGATGATTGTGCAAAAATCTCCTTTTAGCTGCAGGCTAGAGCTAGGATACTGAGCCTGTTAAAGGTCACCTTGGAAAAGGCTCTTTCCTCAGGGGGAGGGTAGAGCTGGCGATATCCCATCAGCTACTGCTCTTCCCAGTATCTCACAATTTTCTCAGCTGTGCTTGTAGCACACCAACAGTTTCAGATAATTTCTTCAAAAGCTTCACCCCTCAAAATTATCACAAAGACGGATTTTGGAAGCTATATCTTTATACTAGAAATTGACTTCACAGATGCCTAATACCACACTCAATAACACCAAAAAGCACAGTGAAACGTCACAATATTTCTTTAGCTTACTAGCTACAATTATGGCTTATTTGACATTTTTGCACAAGGTCATTATCAACCCTTCCCTTATTGCACATTGAAAAATCCAAGGGACCTCTCCACTCTCGCCAAGACTTTGCTGAGTCCTGGATCTCTCCACTCTTAGTCAGATTCAACCCATTCCTTGTAGAGGAAGAATCTTGTGATAACTACATAGATCTCTATATGTTCAAGGAACAGTTACTTTAAACCAATTGAGATATTTTTGTTGTTTTATAAAAATATTTCCCCATAGTAAGTATCCACAAAGGTAAAAACAAAATCGAGGGGTAGAAATCACTCCATATTCACTATGGCAGGGCTGGGGTGTAGCTCAGTAAGATAGCATTTGCTTCGTATGTATAAGGCCCTAGGCTTGATGTTCAGTGCTACCCCCAAACCAAAACAGCCCCAGATCACTATGACAATACTTGTGATCACCACTCCTTACAGAAACAAACAGTGTTCATTTTACTTCATTTGGGCTGCTTCTTAGACGCCTTTAGGATGACCATCAGAGTTCTTTTTTGTCCCCACTTACGTTAGCCCTTGAATTAGAGAAGGAAGTTGTATACACTCGCCCAGCATTTTGCAAAACATTACATCATGGGTGTCGCCCATAATTAAGAAATTTCATGGTGCGAAACTGCGAAGCTCATCACAGTGGCATCCCCAGGGTTCCTGGGAAAGGAAGTGAGGGAGGCTTACAGTGAGTCATCACGTGAGAGGAGCAGTGTGTGCCCCCTTCCAAAGTCTTTCAAAGTCAGAAAACACTTCCTTCTGTGATGATGAACCCTGACAAGAGACGATGCTTTCTCAACTGGACACTACTATCCAAACATTTCGCTCCAGGAGTTCAGAAATCTCCACAAATTCATCTTTGTTTCTAAATATCGGATTTCCCGTTCATTGCTGATTTTGAGTGTTGCGAGCTCCTTTCCCAGCCCTGACGGATGTGCATGAGGGTCCTGTCTATGCACGGCATTATGAGGATGAGCTTCATAACCAGCACTGTGCACGGGATGATGAGGGCTAAAATATAGGCCGAAGGAAGGCTCCACCTTAGGATCCCAGGGCTGAGGAATCGCTTGCCGCCATACATCAAGGTGTGGGCTGTGCACAACACCAGGGTCAGATAGCCCAGTTTAGACTATAAACAAAAACCCAAAAGCATGGTGTTAACAGCATTCACATCTCAAAGCGAAGCAGTGTGGTTTACTTGTCAGGAACCACAAACACATCGTATCATACGAGGATAGTATTAGGACACTGTCGGGTTTAGGTAAAACTATAATCTTCCTTCAGAATGATAGCTATTTCATTAAGAACATAACAAGATTTGTTTATTGATGACATGCTAGTTTTACCTTCACCAGGCTGGATTAAAAAACAAAAGCAGTTCTAGGAGTAAACCCTTTTATGTCAGGAGACACAAATGCACTGTTTTGATCCACAGAGGAAAATTTTTTTTATTGATCACCTTATCCAGAGATCAGAAACAAATGACTTCCACAAGGTCTGCATTCTTCTCTGTTACTGGTCAAAAGCGGATGCTGGCTGATTTCTACCACTGGAAACACAGTTGCTACTGAGGTTCTGGAGTTTTTCTTTTCTGTCTGAATACTTTGCATTTGTCTACATCTGGCCCCTGGGAGAAACTGTAGGATTTGATAACCAAATCTAATTTCAGTTACTAGCACTCTGTTTTCTCACACCGGTGCATAGTGAGCATGCATGGGAGTTTCCTGGGGGCCTTTTCAAACAAGCTGCTGGGTTCCACCTCCAGAGCTTCTGGTTGCGCAGCTTGGGTGGTGCCTGGGGCTTGTGGCCCAAAAAGTTCCCTAGTGTTGCTTCTGTGCGTCCTCTGGGTGTGTGTGACAGGAACTGTGGGGACCACTGGTCTCTAGGAACAGTTACTACCTTAATGAGGTGTCTGCTGGTTGATACACGGAAAGGATGAATTTCTCTCATATAGACCAGGGCTAAGTCTAGGGTGGTGATACTTAGTAAATTTTGTTCGAAGTTTTAACCTTTATGGCAAATCTGCCTTTTCTTATCCGTGTGTCCAGATTGTGAGGTTGAATTCAGAAGGTGAAATTTTGTCTTTGGGGTTTTTTTCACCTTCTACCTGGTGCCTTCACACATAGTTTATAGCTTCTTGGTGCTCTTCACGCTATAGTGTCAGTGGTGGCTCTGGGGGTCGTCAGGAATCTTGCAAGATGTCCTAAAGCAGAAAGTGAAACCCTCATGGAGGCTGCCTGTCAGGGTCTCAGTTCATTCTCCACAGTGAACAGCTAATGAAATGACTAGGGAAGTAAGGCAGCCAAATGAACAATCAGGCATGATAAGACAGGAAACCAGAATATTTGTGAAAAGCTATATTCATTTTGCAGTACCAAGATATTTATATTTGGAGCACTTACCTGGACAAACCTGAACTCTCTCCAGTTGACCGTGTTGCTTACTGATGGCAAGGAAGTGATTCCCAAGAGAAGAAACAGAAAGAATCCCAGGATTCCCAGCGCCAAGTAGGAATCATTAAGCCAGGCCGTAGAGGTACTAAATGGGTTGTCTCTATTAGCCAGGGCCTATGTAAAAGTTAAAAACAATTAAAACAGATGCTCTCTACACCTCACTCTTTCAGGGGGACCGAACCACACCTCTACACACATTTCTTACACAAAGCAAATTGTGTATTGTCTCTTACTGATCACTTAGGAACAGTTTCGGGAAACTACACTTGAATGTTTTGAGCAGAAAAGGTAGTTGTTCTTCCGTGATTTTTGTTATAATTCTTTTTTCCTGGAGTCACATAGGAAGTTTTGATTTGCCCTACATATCTCAAAACAAAGCCAACATACATTTCAATCATCTTTAGCATATGGCTTTCTGTTTCTCAAACAATGCACAGTGTTCTCAAACAATCACATCAAAATTTGGTTTTATATTCTGTTTAGTGTTTCTCTTTCCTCTCTTACACACACACACACACACACACACACACACACACACACACACACACACACAGTTCCAGTCTTTCAAGCTTATTATATCATAATACAGCATTAACTGTAAGAGGAATCAGGCTATGTAGTGTGATCCTTACTCAAGGAACTTTCATGCATTTGTTAGGGGAATGTGTGAGGATTTATTTGTGGACATAGTGCCAGTGAGTTATTGACTGTTTGAGACTGTAGCAAGCTGTATCAACACCATTAATTTCTAAACCAGAGTGAACTTGTATTTCTGCTGTAAATGCTGAAAGACTACTTGAGTTGATTTTGTCTTTGAGTATTCATAAGATAATATTAGGCATTTCTTTCAGAATTGTTTAGGTTTTCTGGCTATTGAGGACAAATTCTCACAAGCCAAACATGAATCAATTTCTAAGCATCCTTTTGTGAAATTGTTGTACATCTGTGGCACATGTTTGGGCAGACTCTATGCTTAGTAGACAGTGGTTTAGACTTCAAAAAGAAATTTACATAAAAACTTGAAAACTGAGAGTTTGTGCTAATTGACTCTTACTCAAAGGAACTCTTTAGTCCCAAACCTGCCAGTTGCTCAGTGCCTCTATGAGCCCAAGATTACATACAGATCTAGAACTAAGTAAGTCTGCAACCTAACTTTTATTCTCTTTTTTTGTTTGTTTTTGGTTTTACGAGACAGGGTTTCTCTGTATTGTTTTGGAGGCTGTCGGTCCAGCCTGGCATCGAACTCACAGAGATCCGCCTGCCTCTGCCTCCCGAGTGCTGGGATTAAAGGCGTATGGCCACCACCGCCCGGCTAACTTTTATTCTTAATGGTTCTATGTGATCGCAGTTGGATTCATTTACAAGCCCAGGGATAATGTTTCTGATTCTTGATACTTAAAAAAATGAAGATGCTGGATGGGCATGACAATTCATGCCTCTAATCCCAGCACTTGGGAGATGGAGGCAGAAAAATCATGAGTTTGAGGCCAGCCAGCCCTCAATAATAAGCTATCTCAAACAAAACTAAACAAAACAAACAAACTCATACACCCACCCAAAGACAAACCCACCCCAAAATAAAGAATGGACTTTAGAAAGCAATGCTCTGCAGTTGTGAAATGGATTGTGGTAGGGAAAGACTGCGCGTTGATTTTAGGAGTAGAGAAATACAGAGGAGAAGAAATTTACCTGAGTAACGGTTCCATTTCTCAATCTCCAGCGTACGTAGTAACGGATAGGAATCACAAGTGTGTAGATGACATGAAGGAAGGCAAATCCCAGAGCTACCAAGCCCAACTGCTTTCTGCACAGCATCCAACGGTCAAGCCAGTTTGGGAACCGGCGGTACTTTGTACCTCTGTAGAGCTGCAGGATGGCAGCAAGAACACCAGGGAGGTACACCAAAGCAAGCAGGACGAGTGCTGTTATAGGAAAGACACGATTTGGGATGGAAATAGCCAGGCGAAATGTGGTATCAGTCTTTTCATTCACATAGGGGTATATCACTTCTCGTATGACACAGTACACAAAGAAGAAGACACACAGCACAGAGGACAGGTAGAAAGGGAGCCTCCACATTGGAAATAGTTGCAGAGGGTAGTTCTCAATTTCATTGGCTGCCACGAGAGATCCTTGGTCCAATGGAGTGAGTCCAAGGGTACGAGCAACGTCCATCACTCTGTGCTTGGCTTTGCTGTCATTCCCACAGACAAACACCTGAGTTAAAAGAATTAATTCCATATTTACTTTTATTTAATAATTATCATTAAACTTTATCTGAGTGCCATGTGGAAAAATAACATACTAATGGACAATATTCAAAACAGAAATCTAGAATCAACACATCTAGCAAGATGATGTTTTGAACAAAGACCATGCTTTTCAGTTGAAGGTGACTTTAGGCACATAGTGCTGCTATAGGGTAAAGTTCACTGTAGCATGCCTGGTCTCATCTTTCTTTGAGTGTGGGTGCTACTTCATTTTTGACTATGGCTATCTCAAGGCCATAAATGGACCCAGTTTCACGCAAGTGAAAAGGGTCAACAAGCTGTGAGTTTCCTGCATGGGCAAGAGGACTCCAGATTCAGACATCATTTGAAACTATTAATGAAAGTTGAGGCACACAAGACTACTTCTCATGGAACCCAATAAAGTTGTCCTTAGCACATATTAGAGAATGAGATATTTACTGGGGATTTCATTTTGGAATTGTATTCAGCTAAGTACATATGAAAACACTGACCTTTGAAGGGCTGAATGCAAGGTCATTTAACCTTACCTGTCGACTTGCATCCAATGTTCCTGACTGGAGAGCCCAGGCTGAGATGGTGTTAAATGCTTTGACCACATGGGCTCCTGGCACCAACTGAGCAAGGTACTCAGCATTCGATTCTGGATACTGATTGATTTTACGGTTGTTGCTGACATCTACCAATATTTTTCCATTGAGAGGGTCAACCAGTTCTGTGAGGCAATCGTAATGCTCTCTGTGCATGGCCAAGATTATGATGTCAGACTTTGATGCTGCCTCGGAATAGTTCAAGACCTCTGCTCCCCTGGGCAGAAGGCTGGACATCTGGGGGTTTCGACTCCCAAAAACAACAGAATAACCACACTGAAGCATTTTAAATCCCAAGGATTTTCCAAAATCCCCTGTTCCAAAGATGCAAATAGTTTCTTGCTTTTCTGTGGAATTCACAGTCAGAGGGAGTGCATCTGCACCTGTTTTCTCCATTCCTGAAAAACAAAGGAAATTAGAGGTGTGGAAACTCAAAAGGATTTACAGATCATCAGCTTGTAACCAAGACACCCCAAGATATTAACAGAAAAACATGCAATGTTTACAAGCACAACTACCCATGTTGCCTGAGAATCCAGGCACAATTGGTGTTCAGTGCTGCCATTTCTACAACTTCATATAAGCTAGGCTACTATATCCTTTCAGAGGCTAATATGTCTTTCTTCAGGACAACTTTTCTCAAATTCTAATTTCTCAAGGTCTAATTGAAATGTTTAGTTAATCTAGAGGCTTGTTTTTGGGTGGGGACTCTGATTTTCAAAGATTTAGTTTCTGTCCTGCTGAGAAATGCACTGTCTACCAAGGGCTAGACAGTTGGCAAATATTTTTTAAGCATGAGCAGGATGGAATGTGAGAGTCAGACGGAGCAGGGTCCACCCTGTGTTTCAGGCTGTGTGTGATAAAGAGGAGGAGGCCGAATAATTAAAGAGTAGCCAATAAGAAAGGGAAAGAGGTTGTAGCAGAGAGGATGCTGCCTATAGACATTATTTCATTCATTCAAGTGGGCTGATAGTAAAATTCAGTTGAGCTTGGTGATCAGTCGCTGTAGCCTTCATGTCAATCATGAAACACACATAAGCTTGCACTTTTTTAAAAAAGGGAACTTTGGAAGTTTTTCCTTTCTGTTTAGCTCATGACAAAGCCCTATCATGTTAGCTGAGCTTGTCTGAATTTCTGCAATTGCAGAACACACTGAACATGTAGATCTTCACAGTCAGATAGGAATTATGAAAGAGAGAGAGACAGAGAGACAGAGAGTCAGATAGAGAAGAGGAAGAAGAAGGAGGAGGAGGAGACAAGAAGAAGAAGAAGAAGAAGAAGAAGAAGAAGAAGAAGAAGAAGAAGAAGAAGAAGAAGAAGAAGAAATAATACTCTTGTAGCAACACAGAAAGTGTGAATAACAACACAATTGATTTCTACAAACTGCCTGTAGATGCCTTCAGGTATCAAGAAGGGCATAACCACATGTGGGAAATTATCTGGGGATGGGCAATGTTCGTCACATGAAAGCTCATTGCCCTTTGAAAAGTTCTTTGCATCCATAAATGCAAACTAGTATATAGCAAACTTGGCCAGCTGCTAATCAGTTAACAGCTAATTTTTATAGCTCCAATCTTCAGGCTGCCAGAATGACACAGTCATTTTTCTGTTCTATACACCTGCTTTGTGTGTCAAAGGACTGCCTACCATCTCTTCATTTCCTCATTACTCTATCCTGATGTTTTTGCTCTCACATTAATGAGACCCTAACTTCTTTATGGCAATATTCTCACTGATTGCTGCAAACAGTGATTCCAGGTGACTCGGACCATTAATTCTAACTTTCTGTAAAATTTCGTACAAATGAAAATATTGACTATTTGGCACTAGTTTCTGAATTAACGTGTGTGTGTGTGTGTGTGTGTGTGTGTGTGTGTGTGTGTGTGTGTGTGTTTGTGTGTAGCGCCTAGGGACAACTTTGGGTATTATACTAAGGAAAGGCTATCTGTTAGATATTGACTATTTGGCACTAGTTTCTAGATTTGTGTGTGCGTGTGTGTGTGTGTGTGTGTGTGTGTGTAGAGCCTAGGGACAACTTTGGGTATTATCCTAAGGAAAGGCTATCTACCTCCTTTGAGACAGGGTCTCTCATGGGCCTGAAGCTAAGTAGTAAGGTTATGTTGGCTGGATTGGCTGGGCAGTGAACCCAGGGGCCCATTTGTACCCACTCCCCACATGCTGAGATTATAAAAGCCCTCTATGCTTAGCATTTTTACATGGGTCTGGGCATCCAATTCTGGCCCTTGTGCCTGTAAGACACTCACATTACTGACTGAGACTTTCTCAGACCACTTTAGCACTGACTTCCTAGCAATAGGGCCTAGGCAGGTTATTCAAACGCAGCTTCATCGTCTTTAAGATGAGAAACAATATCTGCTTAAGAGATATTGAGGCTTAGATTAATTCGTATATCTCAAAACAGTGCTTGAGGCATGAATGCTCAATAAGCTAATTATCCTTAATAGGTTATTTAATCTATTCGATACCTAAGGAATATAACCCATTAATAATTTAATTAATATCTAAGTAAAGAATATAACTTGAGCATTATTCATGTTTTCATGACTGATTATTTTAAGTACATAAAGATAATCTGAACTAGAGATAAGGACATGCCTACTCTAACCATTTATTTTTTAATAAATAAATCCTGTATGAAATGACTTTATACCAGACAAATTTATCAAGACACAGATGTAGACATGGATGAAGTATGAGTTTCTTTTAATTATATTTTTTTTCACATTTTAACTTAGTATTCTCTCCTTAGGACAAATCTTACAGTTTAAGGTAATATCCTTGGGCTGTTACTCCCACCATTGAAATTGGTTTTCACTTTCAAAACTCAGAGCTGCCACTGGGTAAATTGCAGACGTAAAAATCTGACCCAATAAAAGGAAATGTGCTTTATTAATGCCTGGAGCGCTGCCTCATTACTTGAGGAAGTTACCAGAAACTCTATGGTTGACACCGTGGCCACACCATGAGCTTCACTTCAAACCCTCCCTTTGCCGGGCTAAGCCCGCACTGCTAGCAGAAACTCCGTTTCGGGTTTCGCATGCTTCTCTTGATTCTTGTCACGGGGCTTCTCCGAGACCTGTGTCTGCCTAGCATTCGGGCATAGCCGCCCACGGGGCACGGCAAGCCAGCAGCGAGCCGGCCTCTGTGGACTCTGCCTTTCTTCTGAAGCTTCTGTTTCTTCCAGCCTCCTTCTGACACATTTCTTCAGGCGCCTCGCACAACCCCAGAGGAGCCAAGCACTCATTATCCTTGGCCATGGTTAATCTAATTCCCTCTTGTCCTGTCTTCCCCATGTTCCCTGGCCATGCCCTCTGCCATCCTCTCCACCTTCCCAGAATTACACAATCCTTTGTTATCACTCCGCTTGCAGGGTAACTCAGGATAAAATGTAACATTTTTATGAGAAAAACAGTACCAGACTTAAAGTTACCACGATTGGAATGATGAATTAAATAGTGTGGGAAAAGTTAACAATTGTGTGGAGCAATTTGATTCTTAGCTTTTGGGAAAAAAATCTTATTATAGGTTAGAGACAGGATGTATGCATAGGGTATCTGGGCTGTACAAACACGGTTGTCACACCCATGTCAGACATATTTGCGCATCAAAAGAGCTGCGTGTGAGCATGGGTTCGTGAAGGCGGTAAGGTTTCTTGCTCAGTTCTTCAAAATTTCCTTCTGTACTCTACTCTTAGTTATAAAGTGGAGAGAGTAAGAAAGGAAGCAAGCCGGAAGAGCATTTACGGAAGGCAAAGTGGGTTAAAGAATTAAAACAACAGACTCTTTTCCCTCTGCCTTGAGGGCACCATCAGCTGGGTTAAGTGGAAAGAACAGGCGTTTCCTAGCTTGGAAAACCTCCAGGATTGGTGTACTTCTTATGGAAGCATCTTCCAGAGAGGGTCCTTGGCCGAAGTGCGAGGTTCAGGGGTGGGGCGGAGGAATCACAGGTTTACACACGCTAGGGATTAGCGCACCAATGGGCGGCTGCCAAGTGGCAGCAGTGACTTCATGGTCCCACAGGCAGTTGTGATTGAGGTGAAGAATCCTGCTCTCTGTCTCTGCATTCCGCCCCGGGGCATTGGGAACTCAGGCAGCATTCTTCAGAGAGTTATCTTCATCTAATGTAGGATCTTTAGTTGTCTCCAACTTGGGCCACTGCAGTGAACATTCACGTATAGGTTTTGGCATGACAGTAAGTTGTCATTTGTTTGGGACAATGCTCCCCAGCTCAATTACTGGGTCATATGGCAAGTTCATACCCAGTTTTATATGGAACCGCTTGACTTTTGTCCAGACTGGTCACACTGTTCTATTCCTACTTAGCAACTTATGAGTTCTAGTATTTTTCAATTTAGCTATCTTGTTATTGATGGCTGATGATGCTGAACAACTTGTTATGTACTTGCCTGCCATTTGCATGGCTTTTGCCCATTCTCTCTCTCTCTTTCCCTCCCTCCCTCTCTCCGTTTCTCCCTAGAGATAAAGTTTTACTGTAGTTCAGGCTGGCCTAGAAATCTATAGAGCCCAGGGAGTTTCAGACTTGTGCAATCATTCTGCCTCAGCCTCCCAAATTCTGGGATTATAGATAAGAGCTACCAAACCCAGATTTTTGCCCATTTTCTAATTAGACAGTATATCTCATATATGTGTAAAGACAGATTCAGAGCTTTGCTGGATATGTGATTTATAAATATGTTCTCCCAGCCTATGGATTTTTTTTTCTTTCATGTCTTGCAGGGTCTTCAGAGAAAACTCCCAGGAATCTACCAGGGTGACCCTATCAAGGTCTCCTAGTAATGGGGGATGTGGAGAGTGAACTGCCCATTTTCTGTAGCCAGGGAAGACTCCAGTGGTGGGCCTGGAACACCATTCCAGCCACAAAAACTTCTACCCACAACCTTTTCTGCCTGCAAGATGTGCTTGGTCAATGGAGGCTCAGAGCTCGTGGGAGTGGCAACCGTTTTAACTGGAGACCCGTGCCAGGAGAGGGAGTTCATGCCAACCTCTGCCTGGATGATCTGGAACCGGAGGCTGGACAGCCCGGAGACCCAGGATAGAACTAAACACAACTGGCCGAAAACCCAAAAGCAAGTCAAGGAAATGATTCCTAACGATACTATGCTGTACTCATACACCAGTGCCCAGCCCAGTCATCATCAGAGAGGCTTCATCTAGTTACTGGTGAGGAAAGATGCAGAGACCCACACCCAAACTTTAGGTAGAGCATAAGGAGCCCTGTGGCAGACCAGGTGTAAGATCTGTAGGTCACCAGGAGAACATGGCCTACAGAGTACATTAAGCAGGGCTCACAGACACTGAAGTGACAGTCACAGGGCCTGTGACGGGTCCTCTGCATATGTGTTTTGTGTTATTTTGTG